ACGACGACGACTACTACTACCACTAACTCCTACCCCTACTCCTGCCTGCCGCCTGCCACTCCACTTCCAAAATCACTGCCGCTTTCACTGCCACTGCCACCACCCTCCGACTCCAGTGCCACTACCACTACCCGAAGCCCAAAGCCCCAGAAGCCCCAATCCTACAATTTGAAGCTCCAAACAAACCCTACATCGGCCCCTACACCCTCAATCCTGAAGCAGCCATAGCAAGAAGTCGTCAGCATCGTTTCCTTTGAGGATCCTCCAGTACATCCGGGAGGTTCAGCTGCTTTCTTTCGCCCTCCGCAAGGACCCCGTTTGGGTGTTGTAAAGTCGAACGTACGCGGCTCATGTTTCAGAGACTGCTTGCAGGATCATGGGACTCAATCAGTAAGGTTACAAGTACCCTACTTGGNNCCTTATTCATCACCCTAGTTACTAGGACTCATGATCTCCTAAGTGGGGCTTATCTGTTCTGGAGTCAAAAGAGAAGCACATGGGTAGTTCAAACGTACCCTAAAAAGGACCCTCAACTTAAAGAAGAACCTACATGGTTCGGCTCGGCAGTCCACCGCTCGGGGGCGTGGTTCTTACAGTTTAGAGCCAGGTTCCGCAGGTGATCTCATTCCATTTGTTCATGTTCAGGGCCCCCTTTGACAACTGAACAGCCGGAACCACGGTCTCATCAGCCCAAAACAGCATGAAACCGTTGCTACAATCTCGGGTCTAATCTCGGGTAGAGGACTTCCGGCAGGCGAAACTGTAGGACTTTCTGTCTGCAACCGGGACTTTCAGGCAGTGCGCAGTCCTCCACCAATGCCGAACTCTGAAGCGTCAACCCAAACGCTCTTCAGGTTCCGTTTTGGATGTCGGGTTTAGACAGTTTAGGAGCAGATCCCACTAGCCCTAAGAACTATAAACCCTAAACCGTAAACCCAACAGGACATGCGTTTCATTGTTGTCTGGCTCTTCGGCATTTTTGTCGTGGTCCTGCTGCTTGGAAGCTGCCTTTACGCAGCGGAGGGCGGCCAAAATCTCATGGACTCCATCCCAGTGGCCATGTGGCGGCTCGGCGAGTAAACCCCTCAACCCAAAACCCCAAAACCCTAAACCCTAAGCCCTAAACCCTCAAAATCATAGGCTCTTACGGCTTGGTTTATGTCAGGTCTTGGCTTTTTTTCTCTTTACCTCTTGAGCTGTAAGCCTATCAATTACCAGTATTATTCTTGTAGGGTCCTTTAGGGTTTAGGGTTTAGGGTTTAGGGTTTAGGTATTACAACTCTACTCTAAGGGAGCCCCAAAACCCTGTTGTAATTACTAAGGCCCCTATATCCAATTCATTTGGGGTTCGCAGATCTGCGGCTGCCTTTGAAGGTGTGCGGCGGCAGGTCTATAGTCTCAAGTTGAAACATCTCTGGCTTCGGGTTCAGGTTTTGAGGGGCTAGAGTTTTGGGTTTTCAGCGGCCTAGATAGAGTTTTGAGGTTTACGCTTCAGGGTTTAGTTTAGGATTCAAGTTGGAAGGGTCTTGTTTCGATGCTTATGTTTCGCCATCCCTCTTGTGCAAAGCATCGTCGCTACATAGTGAAGCCTTTAAGGCACCCGCATGGGACCGAAATCCCCAAAAGCCTAAACCGCCAAGGCCCTTTGAACATACCTGAGCCCTAAGCTCCAACGATCCTAGGCCCTAAACCCCAAACCCTTAAAGCAGTTCGAGTAATTAAACCCTAAACCGAAAAAACTAAAACCCTAAATTCTAAGCCCTAAACCCTAAACCGAGGTGGGCCACCGTCACAATTTGCACCGTTGGCTATGGCGACATCGTGCCGGCGACGGTGCTCCTCAAGCCCCCAAAAGATCCTGAACCTTGTTTCGGGTTCGTCAGCATAAGGTTTAGGGTTTAGGGTTTTAGGGTTTCAGGATTAAGGGCTTTAGGGTTTAGGGTTTTAAGGGCTACAATTTTCGGAGGTTTTGCGATTTACGGTTCTGGGGTGTGCCCTAACCCCCGCAGCTTGATGACATGAGTCCTCAGAGTCTGGCCGCATACTCCACACCCCAAGCCCCAAGCCCTAAACTTAAACCTCTTCCCTATAGCACAGTCTCAAAGCCACACCTTTCAATACAAGTGGTAACTATACGGTATAAGTTATATCTATATACAACATAGTATGTATGTATGTATGTATGTATGTATGTATGTATGTATGTATGTATACACAGAATATATATATATATATAAATGTATATATATATATATATACACATACACATATACATATATATATATATATATATAATATGTATATACATGTGTATGTATATATATATATATGTGTATACATATACATATAAATTTACACATATATGATCCCGGTTCGGCCGGCCCCCCCCTCCCCCCCCCCAATGGT